TAAAAAGGAACGAAATGTAGAAACAGATCAGATCTAGAAGTGTGTGCTCAAGGATGCGAATGGCAGGCTGATACAAGGGAACTTGCTTTATGGAATGATAATGGCAATGATGACAACAGTAAGTGATTAAAAATATGGCCAAGTAATGTGATAGAAATGGTAAACCTGTGTTGTAGCAATGAAAACAAGTTGATGATGGAAGAATGAAGCATCCTCAAAGAATTAGGCTTCAGGACAGGAAACTAGGTAGCTATTTGAAGCTTAGATGAGTAGCTGCAATGTTCTTGCCAGCAGTGAAAACCTAAGAAAGAAGGAGTCGACTAACACAACTCATACATTGGTGTGGAGTGAAATAAGAATACCACCATTTATTGGAAGCTGACTGTGCCAGGCATGATGAGACTGCCTATCCTGACTCATTTCTCATTGTTGTGATAATTCTGAAAGGTAGGATGAGGAAATCAAAGTTGAAAGTGATGAAATAACTTGATCTATAGGTGACAGATCCAAGTTGTGTGTTTATGAACTCAGCTTTCCAACATTCACTCAATACATACACACAAATGGTTCAGGCAATAAGGCTGCATTCTGAGTCTCAGTCATACCTACTTTCATACTTCCCTGAGTTCTTACTAGTAACATGGCCTGGCTATTCTTCCATACATTGTACTACACAGCTGTTCAGAAGGTCACCAATGACTTCCAAACCCCTAAATCCACAGCTACCTCCTTGACCTCCGAGTGGCATTCAGAACTGTTGATGGTTCCCTTCTATGGAATGGCATTTTCTTTTGGCTTCTCACAAGCTCTGGGTTTCCAACTCTAACTTAGATGCTCCTTTACTGCCTCATCCTACTTTATCCTGCTAGTAAATGTCCAAGTTCCTCAGAATCTAGTCTTAGGTCTTCTGTCATCATTTTTGTACATTTTTTTGGTAATTTGCCCATGATTTCAATTATTTTATATATATGTATATATAATTGTAAAGATACTGTACAGAGGGGTTACAGTTACATGAGTAAGGTAATCAGTACATTTCATATCGGGCATTGTTACCCCCTCCTTTGGTTTTCCCTACCATCCCTTCCCAACCCACCTCCCCCATCCCCCCCACAAGTTGTAAAGTTCATTTTCAACATAGTGTCTTATACATCTCATTGCTACAATGGGTCAACCTGTATCATTATTTAAGCATTTTGTTATTTCCCTTCCCCTCCCCAAATTAGAAAAATGTATATACAAGATACAGGGCACCAGCATCAAATACAGTGAAAACAGGGGTTATACTGTGGGGGAAGAACATATAAATGAAACAAAAAAATCACATAGTATATAATAAGCACATTAAAAACTACAGCTAGAAAGATAAAACCTCTTGTGTCCCTATCTTGGGGTTCATTTTGCTTAGCCATACCTTATATGGTTATATATACATAGCTTTTGGCCTTTTCTGCTTGTCCTAGACATATACTAGTTATTACAAATAAGGGAAACCATGGGACCTATGTTTCTTTGGGTCTGGCTTACTTCACTTAATATAATTTTTTTTCAAGTCTTTCCATTTCCTAACAAATGGGGCAATGTCATTCTTTCTGATGGAGGCATAGAATTCCATTACGCATTTTCTTGGTCCATCCCATGATTTCAATTATTATCTATGGGTGCCCCCAAATGTACATATTTTGTCAGATCTGTTTAAAACTTTAGGTCTGTGCATCTACCAGTTTATTACCTATGTTACAGATCCCGAGGGATGAACACGTACAAAACAGAAATCAGCTTGCCCCACACTTCCTGTACTTCCAGATATGCCCCTTGTCTCAGAGAGCTGAGGAATTGTCCTCCAGTGGCCATGGCTGAAAACCTTTTTGTTTATTTTCCATGTTGAATTAATCAAAAAGGCACACACCATGATTTCATTTCTCAAATATCTCTCAGATCAGAAGATTATAAGTTCACTAAGCACAGAGAGCAAATCTCTAATTTAGAACTCAGTGTACCATTTGGTATACCAGGTAGAGTGTGGTGAATGGTCAATAAGAATATTTGTGAACTAAACAAGTGGATAAATGATGCACTCTTTCTTGTCTTACCATTTCCATCATTGCTTCTCTAATAAAAGCTACTGCTTTTTTCTCAATTGGGACACCTATCTGAGAATGTTAGAGGGAGGATGTAAAATATTTGAACAGTGCTTAGATCATTTTAAGTCCTCAGAAATGGTAGTTATCATCACTAGCCACAGAAATGGTACTCATAACCAATAACAAATACTGCTGAGTGAAACAGGTACATACATTGTCATTAATTCTAAGGTATAAATATCTGGAAACTGAACCCAGTGTCTTTCAATACTAAGCATGTGCTTTACCACTGATACACCTCACATTCCACTATATATTTATTTTAGTGATAGAGATAGTTCTATACAAATCAAGTGTCATAAAAGTACTCAAAAATTGGAGGAATGTGTGGAGCAACCAAAATCCTTACACATTGCTGATAAGAATGTATAAAAGTGTGCTGCCTCTGAAAGAGTTTTGGAAAACATTTTCTCAAAACATTAGCTATAGAATGCATGTAGGAAAGATCTAGGAATTCCTTTCAGAGATAATATACCCAAGAGAAATAAAAATTCATCATTTCAAAAATATACAAGAGCATTCCTTGTGTCATAGTCAAAATGTTGATCCTGGATCTGAGTTTGTTGCTTGGGTATCGGTGTGATCTTAGGTGAAATCACTTCCTTTTAGGTTTCTGTTTCTTAGCTACACAATGAAATTTTTGCATTTTGTGGTCTCTAAGATCCTATTCCATTCTAATTAGTTTGCAGTTAGGAAGTGATTAGTCATTTCTTTCAGGCTAACTGAACTCTATAAAGGATCCCTGAGCTTCCTACCTCATCTCTCCCAGGCATGTAGCTTCTCACTGCAAAGTCTCTCCCTCTGTGAGGTTGTGATTATCTCTTAGGCTTATAATAGTAAGGGCAATTGTGACTGCATTATTGCTACTATTCCTAATAGTCAAAGAGCCTAATAAGTATCTTCTAAACACACCATGCCAAATAATTAGTGTGTAATCTCATTACAAGAGTTCTGTGAGGAAGACAATGTTAGAGCTCTCATTTTACAGATGAGAAGGTTTAGACCCATGGATGCTATAGAACTTGCCCATGGACAAGTTGTCAAAACTTGAACAACGAGGCTCCCTGGTATTTTTTCCTACCCAAAATATGATAAGGCAGATAAGGCCTTGCCTCTTGCCATCATTCAACATAATTAGCATTGGCCTCATTAAAGAAACCAGCTGGAGCTTCTGAGCTTAAGTTAGCTTTTTTTTTTTTTAATTTTGTAGATTTAATACAATTCTCAGTTATTCTACTAGAAAATTTGAAGAGTTGTTATGCAAAACACCTTAAGTGGAGTCCACTTAACTCCCAACCAAAGAACTGCAACTGACATCAACCATGGCATGGTATTTTTTAACCAACCAGGTTAGCAATAATCTAATGATGAAAAATATTCCATGTTGGTGAATGTATGTCGAAAGGCACCACCCCACATACCACTCCAGGTAAATCAGCAGGCTCTTTACAAGGGCTGTGGAATCATTTTCTACAGTATCAAAGTTAAAATTTCACATACACCTTGGTTCAGTTAATTCCTTTTTGGCAAGCTTTCATTTTATAGATATAAAGGTTGAGATGCCCAGAGTTGTATAACTTGATCATGGTTCCTACAGAAATACTTCATCCCATAGAAGTATTACAGAACCACACATAAATTACATATACATATAAGTGCATGTACGTGGATAGATTTGGAATAAGAGAATGGGTAAAAAAGAGAATTTCAGTTGCCAGTGGTTCATCCTGTAATCCTAGCTACTCAGGAATCTTAGATCTGAGGATAAGGGTTCAAAGCCAACTAACTCAGATAAATCTGAGAGATTGCTGTCCAATTAACTAGCAAAAAGCTGTAAACGAGTGAAGCAAAACACAGGCTTGCTTCAGATCCAAATACTAGTATATGAGAGTGAGACAGAGAATTTCCTGCTTTATATGTGTCTGTTCTAGTTCTACTAGCATATTGCGTAATCAACTATTAACTTAATAATTAAATAAAAATAGAAGGAGCAAGAGAGGACCAGAAGCTGGAGAGAGTTGACTTTAGTGACAACCAGAGTAAATCCTCATATTAATGACTCAGAGTTAGTAAATCAGATTAAAGTTGTAACCACAGCTAAACCTCTGTCTTCCCCATTCTGGAAGGAGGCCATTTTTTCAGCAGCAATTCCCTCCGGAATGTTCTTAACAATGTGTTTCAGCCCACAAACAGGCTCCAGAATCATACAATGAGTAACTTTCCCTGGACTGGTAGAAAGTGATTTCTTGCTCTTGTAAAATACACTACTCTGTCTTCTAACAGCTATTGTCCTCAATGTTGGAATAAATTATATTTCACTCTAACCATTTCCTACTGATAAAACTTTGTATGCATGAATTTGCTCTATGGGGCAAAGATTGTTTCTTCTATAGTTAGCTGTTTTAGAATGTTATCATACATTTAAGTAAAAATAGTCCAGCTGGCTTTCTCTCTATTCAGATAATAGATTTCATACTCATTATCATTTTCGTCCTTGGTTCAGTGGGCTGTGTTGGTGAAGTAGCATTTATTCTGCTTGTAATGATTTTAAGTGCTCTTCTGACTTAATGGAGTAAACTCAATGAGTGATTCTGCCAGAGTTTGTCATTTTATTTTTTTTAATTATCAGATATATTTTATAATTTTGCTTTGTTTTTTTTTTGTTTTTGTTGGTCATGGGGCCTGAACTCTGGGCCTGGGCACTGTCCCTCAGCTCTTTAGCTCAAGGCTAGCACTCTACCACTTGAGCCACAGAGCTATTTCTGGCTTTTTCTGCTTACGTGGTGCTGAGGAATCAAACCCAGGGCCTCATGCATGCAAGTCAAGCATTCTACCACTGAGCCACCTTCACAGCCCCCAAATATGGAACACTTCACAAATTTGTGTGTCATCCTTGCACAAGGGCCATGCTAATCTTCTCTGTATCGTTCTAATTTTAGTACATGTGCCGCCGAAGCGAGCACAAAAGAAACAGTTTTTTTTTTTTCAGTCACAGTCTTTTTCCTTTGGTGGTTGAACTGAAGGCCTTTCACATGCTAGGCAGGTGCTCTACCACTTGAGCCATACTTTCAGCCCCTAGCCAAGTCAGCATCATCAGACTTCTTTTTTGTTTGTTTGTTAACATCATGACTTTTTATGTGCACCCTCAAAACATAGAGTTGTAGAAAATGAGTTAAATTAGAGCCATCAATGATATCTATGAAAATAACCATTGTTTGTTTGATTGTCTGGGTTTTTTCTTCTTTTGTACTCTGTATATATTTATAGCAAGGGCTTTGTTCTTAGTAACCCAGCTTTTCTGAGTTTTGCCTGGAGTATTTACTTGTATTTCTTCTAGATATGCCGTATGCAGCCTTGGCAGAAAACAATATGATCATGTTTCAACTAGAGCAAGAGCCTCACAGGCACACCAGGTGAGGTAGTGTGGCTATGAACAGAAATAAGTGGCATTTGAGCAAGTCTGATGGACACAGAGCTAGAAGAGACTCACTGAGCAGCTGGCTTGTTCTGTTGTCAGGGAGAAAGTGATTACCCCTTACTGAAAGGTATAGGGAAAAGCTGGATGGGAAGAGCAACAAGCCAGTAGACAGAAGAATTGGATTCCCTCCAGGTTAAGGAAGGGAAGAAAATGAGTTCCATTCAAGTTTGAAAGGCCAACAGCCAAGCTGCTAAAGAGCAGAAAGAGTTGGTTAAATGATTAAGACCAAGAGCCAAGCCCAAATTCTGAGAAATAAGAGCAGACTTACCCCTAATGGCTCAGGGATGGCCAGTCACTGCCCCCCAGACCTCCAGGCTGCTTCCCTGGGCTCCAGGCTGAGGCTGTGCAGCCAGTTCTGTTTAGTGTCTCTTCACCATGGTTCCCAACCAGGAACTGGCAGCCCTGTGCTTTCTCTGCAAACACGGCTGCTGAGGTGGCAGGCCGAGGTGAAGCACTCGGTCACTGTGTGTGCAGGTGGCCTACCTTCTATTAGGTGAGCAGACTGATATTGTAGGTTGAGATTCTTTCCCTTTCCTTTCCTGCAGAAATGTGATGGGGTCAGTACTTTATTGCTTAAAGCATGGCTAAAAGGAAAGAGTTCAGTGCATCTATCAATAGACTTAGCCTTTAGCTTTGGCCTTCATTCATTCAACATATATTCATTGAATGTCTACTATATGACAGACACTATTCCCTGGAATTATAGAGTAAGCCAGATTAAGAAAATCTTGAGTGAATGTGCAGTCCAGACATTCATTAAATAATCCCTGAAATAAATATGTGCTGAAGAATCATGATAGGTATTGAAGAAAAGATTTGAGAGCTAGAAGCACTTACTAGAAATGAGGGTAAAGGAGGGAAAGACCTATTCTAGGAAATAAAGAATGCTTTCCTGGGAAGTGAAGACATTAGAACAAAATGAACTAGATGAATGGGAGAAGAGCATTTTAGTAGGGAGAAATGACAGCATATCAAAAGGCTCCTAAGTAGGAAAGATTGTATGTTCAAGGAAGAAGGCTGTAATTATTAGAGCATGAGTAAAAGGAAGGCTTATCTTAAATTGAGATTGTTGCACTCAGTAGGTCAGCTGTGCTCTTATTTTTTGGAATCTGTTAAACAACAAGAAACTTTAATTAGCTAGTAATATTACTCATAAGAACATTCCTTGCAATCAGGCTCCATAAACTAACCAAACTCTATCTACTGGCCTGTAGCTAAAGGAAAGCTGAAATCGGTGAGGTGGGATTTGTGTATTCCTAGAAAAGAGCCTTTGGAAGTGCCATTTTGACCCACAACTCTTATCCTCCATAGAATGCCTTGCCCTGCACTGGAATTCAATATTAATAGTCCCTAAGCAGTGAACTCTGCTTTTTAGCCAGGCATTTTGTTAAGCATTGCAATGTATTATTATTATTATTATTACAAATGGCTGTTTATTAGATCTGTTGAAAGTACTCTAGGTCTCTCTTCCTGGTTTACAAGAGAATTGCACTACCTGCCTCCTTGAAGTTAGGGACTGTCACCGAAGTAGCTTTAGTAAATATGTCATGTTTGTGTTTTTAGTTGTCAGTGTATGAGTTCAGTCTTCTTTTTTCTCATGTGTTTTGACTAAGGAAGTGTATGTCTGTATCAGTGGTTCTTGACTAGGGATGGCTTTGACCTTCAATGGAACATTGGAAATGTTTGCCAGTAGGTTTATCTGTCACAACTGGGGAAGGTGTTGCTTCTGTCCTCTAGTTAGCCCAAGAGATGCCACCACAGTAAAAACAACGCTTCCACAGCAAACATTGATGTGGTTGGAATTGTCAGTAGTGCTGAAGTAGAAAACCTTTGCTCTAGATGAAGCCACCATCAGCCTATATCCTTGGAGAAACACAGAATGTCATCTCTCTCTGCTGACCTGCACTGAGCACAATCTTGAGAAGAAAAGCAAACTTTTGATACTGAGTTCCTCCTAAGTGAGATACCCTTATTAATTCAGCATAACCTCATCCATTCTGACTTCAACAGTAGTAAAATGACCATAATTCCCACTTTGTAAGTCAGGAATCTAAGACTCAGAGATACTAAGTCACCCAAAGCAATATAGCTAGATCACCTGATATCTAAAGCCTATTAGCTACTCTCTTAGTGGTTAATCACACTCAGGGTACTGTTCACAGACTTCTGAGAGAGAATAGCCTTATCCAGGAGCCATTGAACCCCCCCCCCAAAAAGGAGGAAGGTAGCCTGCGAAGTTATTATTTGTCTAATATCTGTGTTTTGAGAGACTTCAGAAAGTTATTCAGAAACTGGTCTAGCTTGTAAAGCAAGATACAGTCTTAACCTCGTAATATTTTGCTCTTTCCTCCCACATTTCTTTGTATCTACAATACATTTCCCCTAGTTCTAATTTAGTTTTTGGAGAAATGACGTTACTCCCAGCAAAATTAGGATTCTTAGGTACTGTGAATTTGCCTGGACTCTAGAATTTATATTTGAATGTCACTTCCACCTTGGACTAGATATATTACAAGTCACTCAACCCCTCCATTCATTTGTAAAATTAGATGCATTGCAATTACTTTATTCTCATAGGGTTGTCAGAGGGATTTCGTGATCTAGTATTTTCAACATTTGTTCCATAGTAAGCATAAGGACTTACTAAGCAAATGAAGTTTTTGGAAATGGGTAGTTTTTGAAATGACCTAAGAAAAGTGGGAAGCAAAGAAGCCCCATTGCCAACTAAGATGATCCTGGGTCCTGAGTCTGTCATGCCAGTGCTGTAAGCAATGCTTTGCAGCAATTTGCATTGCAGTTGCAGTTGCAGTAGTGGGCAATGTATTGCATTTGAAGAAAGGGGGAATTTCCAAGAAAGGGATTCTAAGGATCTTACTGCTTGGGCTAGGTCAGAGGGAAAATGTAGGAGTCGTCAGGTGAACACAGAGGCCAAATGTGAGCCATACACAAGAAAGGTGATGTGGACATGGGTCAAAGGCATGTTTGGTAAAGTAGAGCGATTACCCTGGGGTGATGTGATCAGAATGTGGTTAAAGACAACACACTAGTAAGTTCTGGAGATGCTGATCAAGAATTTTGACTACAGCTTGGAAATTTCCTGACAAACTCTTAAATGAAGATCCTCAATAGTGAGAACATAGCCAGGCACAGAAGCTGGGGAAATGGGAGCAAGCAAGGAATAATTGTCCTGAGTTCACTCAGGTGTCACTTTATCAGCCCTGCCTTTGTGAGATTCATTGTGTTAACGATCCCTGAAAACCAATGGTAGGCTAAAAATAATGGTGGTTTAGTTGCAGCGGGGGAGGGAGGATGGAGAGAGCTATTCTGACAAGATCTGAGACCACAAGACCACTGAGTTGGAGGGAGGGCACTCCAGTCTCTGTTTAAAAATTTCCTAAGTTCTTGTGTATCCTTAGTTCTCACTGGGACTTCAGGTATTCGGGGCCAGCCTCACAGGCTGGTCTCCAGCTTCTACAGTCCCAGCCCAGCCAGCATGCTGGCTCCAGGGTCATTTCACAGCTGAGCTGTCCTCTGCCAAGGCCTCCAAAGTGAGAGGAAACCAACACCTCCCAAGTGTCATCCAACAACCCAGGTACTTGATCCCTGACATTAGAGACATAGAGAACTTTGCCCCTTGAATTTTATTTTAGTTATTTTCTTTGGAGTGGGGCCTGGGACATATGTAAAATGAAGGTTTCACACGATGCTCTTGGGAGCCAGCCAGAAAGGAAAGTAGTTTTTCAACGGTACAAATCACAGCTTATCTCTCTCTAGTGGATTCTTGAGAAAATGTCCCCTGTGCCACTCACCTAAGTAGGCTCCTGCTAATACTGTTGCACCAACCACAACCAACATTTATTTCTCACTTCATATATCCTCACTTGAATTTTCTATTTACTCCCACCGAACTCTAGACTAATGAGTTATTGGGCCAGGATGGCCTTCGAGATGAGATTTTTGAAGAAAAGCAAACATTATTATTCATAACTGAGAAGACAAAGGCGTCAAGGAAAGACTTGCAAAAGTCTCATGATGAAATTATGACTGTACTTGGTTCAGACATGGGAACTTAAGATTCTACACACCTCTGCTGGCTGCTAAAAGAAAAGGAGCCCATGCTTGCTTTGGTACTAACCTTATCTGACAGGGAATCAAACTACCAGTCCTTGTGTTTGGAGCCAAGTGGGATCCTGTAGGTCAACCTGGATCTAAGGACTCTGTTTTATAAGTGAAGGGAACTCGGGTGCAGTGCTCAGTACATTTGTATTCATACGGCATAAATTGCATTTCAACTCACATATTGCTTTCACAAAATTTAGTATCACTTTTTTGATGATACTGGGATTTAACCTCAGTGCTTCTTGCTTGCTAGACAAGCTCTCTACCACTTGAAAACCACAAAAGCTAATCTCACTTAATGTTTTCTCATAAGCACTCAAAAATGGACAGAGCTGGTATTCTTGGCTGCCATTTGCAAAAGCTCAA